AAATTTTCATGCTCAAGGTTGAGTTGAAGCTGCAACACATCACGTGTTGCCTGTCCAACTGTCCTCCCACGTGATATCATTGTTTCAAATAACCGATTCCCTTCCTTACCCCTCTCCTATTTTTTTTTTGATCCACTACCCCTCTCCTATTGAATTAGCATACATCTCATTATGTCCTAATCCTTGATCGTATGAATGCACTATCACTATATCTGATTTAATAACCAATTCAGGACTCTCTCTCTGCCATCCATTTTATAGATCTTGGGGCATTTAGGCATATGGGATCTTACCCTCACAAAAATGCCTCGGCTATGAGCTTATATCCATCCCTAAAACATGATTTATCATTCTTACAAAGGTAGAGGGTCATTCAGGTATTTTTGCCTTCCGCTTGTCTTTTTTCCTTCGCCAATCTGTCGACAGAAACTCAAGCCAATAATACTTTTTCCCCTCCTAAGCTCTGTCTCCTTCATAGATTTGAAAGAGTGAAACAGTACATACACACACAGACACAGAAGAGAGAGAGAGAGAGATGGGTTGTGTTAGAACTCCAAGATACCATTTGTGTTATATTTGGCAGTTATTTCTGTTGATTCAATCTAAAGCTTTTTGCTACCAATACAAGGTTGGAGATTTGGATGCCTGGGGTATACCCACTTCTGCAAACCCACAAGTCTACAACAAGTGGTCCAAAAATCACAAGTTCAAGATCGGAGACTCCCTCAGTAAGTTTCTCTTCACTAATCTTTCCTATCACTTGTTCTAATTCAAGAGTGCAACATATTACCCACAAATATTTTATCCTAGTCTCAATGGTATCAGTGGTTGAAGAACTAAAGCATTTATTTCTTTGTAGTGTTTCTGTATCCACCAAGTCAAGATTCACTGATACAAGTCACAGAGGATGCCTACAAAAGCTGCAACCTAAAATACCCAATCCTATACATGAACAATGGCAATTCTCTCTTCAACGTCACTTCTCCTGGCGAATTCTACTTCACCAGTGGAGTACAAGGGCATTGCGGAAAATCACAGAAGCTCCACATTTCTGTGCCTGGAAATGGTACTTCTGCATTCTCACCCTCTTACGGTCCCGGTGCACTGCCAGCAACTTCTCCATCTTACCCTACAGTCTTTGGATCGATCCCGACGCCACCTTCTTCTTCTTCTTCTTCATCACTGCTAAAATTTCCAGCGTTCATGGAGGCAGCCATTGGATTTTTCATATGCGCATTTATCAGTGGCAGGGTATAAAAAGGAACAGTAATTTTGAAGGTTTTATTAATTAATTGGAGGTATGAAAATAAATTCATATGGCTATATATAATTGTATTTGAAATACCCACCATATTTACTTCAGTATGTTCCCTTCAGAAGTGATTTTTCATTTTTATGCATTCATTTGTACAAGATTTTCGACCATGTAATTCATTCTCAGTAATTTAAGATAATAACACGTTTTCATTAGAGCTCCAGTTCTTATGGCAGCAAGCAATACTGCGATGATTCTTTTTTTTAAATCCCCACCAATTACGCATTGAAATTTTATACTTGGGACTGGGCTGTCGGAGAGAGAGAATTACCTTTATCATAAAGAGAGATCAGGCGGAATCAAATCCAATGTTATCTCTGTCCTTTACCTTCCTCTTTTGCTCTTTCCTAAGAAAAGCAAGCACTAATTTCCATGTCCAACAACAAAACACCCCTTTCGATTCATACATCTCCAGTTCAAACCCAAAATAATAATAATAATAATAAAATTCATACATCTGACCCACTGCTCTTAATTATAAATTTGCTAGCTGCAACCGATCTGGCCAACAGGTCCTCATTTCTTTTATATGCAAGATGCACAACGGGCTACATTGGTGCCACTGCCACCCAGAAACAGATGGGAAGCTACTTGCATAACTATCCACTTAAAAAAGGTACCAACTGGTGCCATAATGCCCATAAATTAACCATAAAAAATTGCATTGGTTGTCTACAGCCAAAATTGAAATTGGACCTCCTTGGGCACAAATTTCCTTTGCTTTTTACTCGATTAATAATAAATGGAATAGGCACAAGCAGAACAAGAATATGTGACTAGATTAGATGCTCAAAATAAGTTGCATAACAGAATGCAGGTATTCAGCGAGCTATTTCCACATCTAGGTTCATTGGCTTCACTTCAGATATATATGCCACCTCAGGGGCTGTGACATCTGCAAACTGTGTTACTGTGGACTTCAATTCATCTCCCCCAAATGGATTTCTTATCTGAGCAGCATTGGCATCAACTTCCATGGCCGATGCTCTAGGAGGTGATGAGGGCTGCACCTCCACATCTGGGTAAGCAGCCTTAAACCTTGCCCGCAGGCCTTCATCAACTAACCGTACCCCTTGCAACTGATTGCCAAGTGCCATCCATCTGAGATATTAACAGAACAAGATAATCAATGAACAATATGAGCTGAGAAGCTATAGAACACGAAAATTATGACAAATCAAAGCTGGAATCTTGCAGGCCAATTATTTGTGCAAGGCCATTTCACCAAAAAATAAATAAATACAATTCCTGCACATACAGTGGTCAGGATAAACTTGACACATCAATATTTTATTTCTTTCAATGCATTTGGATACCTCCAAAAAAAAAACGTCTGTGATAGTATCTTGCAAAGTTATCAAATCAAGAGATAATATAGATTTTGTTGCAGTGAGTATTTGCTCAACGTGGGCACTTTAATTATGCACTCTAATTTTTTTTCTCCTAACCATTCACACTATATAATATATTTATATTTATTATATTATTTTAATACATAAAGTCCATTTAACATAAAAAATGCCAAAAAAAAAAAATGTATATTGTAAAGTGTAGAGACATGAATATCTATCTCTATAAGATCATTATCATCTTATACAGAAATTCCCTACTCAAAATAGTTTGAAATATTTTTGGGTTACAACCTTATCTTTTGTATACAATCGTATTTTATTAGGTTATAGACTACTATTACTTAAAAAATAATAAATGAAAACTAAAAATTGTTCTTAAAAAATAATGAACATTGTGTTAGATAAATAAAAATATTGTAGATTCGTCAATATACAAATAGATCATTGACTCAGTCCAAAACTAACATTTATTTTTGAGGGTTAGTGGTCCACTAATTTATTGAAAAAAAAAAGACTAGAACTATTATTGAAATTTTTAAAAATTTAGGGGGGGCAAATATAATGTATAAAATAATTGAGTAATGCTATTAAAACCTAATTCACTGTGACCTTTGGATTGACTATGGCTTCCATCAAACATTGGAACTTGGAGTTGATCCAATGGTTCCACTGAAACCACATCATTATGTTTGCAAATTAGGTTAAATTTTTAGGTCCAAATAAGATTACTCAAAATAATTTTATGGGTCCTCATCTAAAATGGTCCAAAAGTTTTGGGAGGGGGGGGGTAAGTGCCCACCCTGATCCCCATGTAGCTCCGCCCATGGCCATCATTAATTTTTTCTACGCTGTCGCACACCCAGTCCATAATAATTTAGGTGCCACGCTCCAATCATTCTACAACAATAGGTGAAGCTCCTATATACCAACATGGACAAGCATCAACACCTCAGCAGCAGGTGCTAACCTCATACATTCCCTTGGCCATAAGCAGTGTAGTATTTCCCCTTGCTTTTTATTTGAGTTGGGTTGTTTTTAATTTTGGGAAGAGGGAGGGCAGACAAAAATAGGAGGATAGGCATAACACAAATCATTTATCACAACATGATGACCATCAACCCATCAAAAAGGAGTTAATGACAAATTGAAGTATGCTATCAGATGCTTCAGGCCTCAAGTTATCTGCATATCTAGATGGTCCAATCATTCTTAACTCTCACGAAATGCCCCTCAGGTATGTCCCTCTAGTTTCATTCAGCTTCAATAGTTCTATTAAAAGATCTCAAAGTAGGCAACTGATGTAGATTAAAGAAACCATACCCAGCATGACAGTTATGCATCCTAGCAAACAACTCCAGCTTTCTTGTCCTTGGACTTATCCTCTCCAGCATTGGGTACATCTGCACGATGACATGCAATTAAATTAACACACTACTGCAATAGGAATGAATTACAGTATAGCCATCTGCTATAAAAACTTAAAAAAGGTTATAGCCATCACAACGTAACAAGCTACACTACATTAAAGACCAAAGCTGAACAACTACTAAATTGGTGTTCTACTTTTTTTTCCCCTGCCAAAACAAGTAGTTCTATTTACCTCATCTGGCTTGCGGCTTGTTTCTCGAACCTCGGCAACAACAACATCAGTATCAATATTCCTGTTTACTTCCGGATTGCCCTTTATTCCAACAAGGCAATGCTCCTTACTGTGGTTAAGCCAATGGCCGGTGCGGCCTGTTCTGATAATTCGCTGAAGTTGATTGGTCTTCACCCAAATGAGCTCCTCAATACGCTTGTATCCCCAAAGTTCTAAACTGCAAGAAACATTGACTTTCATGTAAGCTAGCTGCAGAGGGACACTTCCTTTACTCAAAAGAATCAAATAAAACCTCTTTATGCAATATCTCAGTACTCTGTCCATGTGTACAGAACGGACATAAATTTATTCAGGAGAAAGAACCCAAACATGCTTGTTTTAAACTAATTAAGAAGTTTGTGTCCATGATGAATATCTGAAGAGCTCAGACATAAAAGGTCATACCCAATGCACAGGGCTCGTGCGGTCACAAGGTCAGGGAGGTAAATGATAAGACAGCCTTACTTCATCATGGAGAGGCTGATTCACATACTTACAAAGTAGAGCTTAGGCATGTGATTATAAATAGTGTGTTTGTCATGCTTTTACATTTTCATCAATTGTTCCACAAACTTAAGTCCCTGCTTTTGGCATATTGGACAGAATATTTCAGGAGGTACATACAGCAACATTCTTAGTATCCTATTAATTTAAAAGCGTTGACTTGCAGGATGTACAACACTGTAAAGGCAGATAAGAGAAAACGTCCACCACAGAAGCTTGATCCACATTATAAATGCAGCACAGATAAAGATGGCCTACCATTCGCGTCCAAGCTCCATTGCACGTCCAGTGACCCATAGAAATATTAGACCATCAGTCTGCAATGCAGGAACATTAAGACTGCGCATTTCATCATCAGCCATAGTCCCATAAGGCAATTCCATATGAATGTCCCATGGCGGATCAGCCATTATAACGCCAAACTGCCCTAATATGTCCATCCTAAAGTTACGAATATCACAGTTAATCCACTGTGCTTCACCTAACTCTACCTCTGAACAATAGTCGGCGCGCTGAGGCTTCAGTGGCTTTGGAGGAGGTAAAGCATTACCTCCCATCATTGCAGGTGGAACATCTGGTGTTGAGTCAAGCTCGTAATGGACATACTTGCATGTCTATCACAAATATGGATTCATTAAATTATTACAACCATTACTAGAAATCACTACTCAGGTAGATTAGAAATATCAATTCACCTTCATGTGACGACAGGTGTCCAGAAAAGAGCAGTCCCCCAAATTGACATCAGTGTGGGGAGCAATTATGCGCCGAAAATGAACCTAAAACAAGGGGAAATTTAGCAAAACAACATCTAACAACAGTTGCAGTTGCAATCAAGGAACTTTTACGACCATACAAGTACAGAAGATTGAAAAAACTGTTGGATGATAATATTTAAACAATAGATTAAACATTACTATATAAATTTAGATTACAAAAAGTTATTCCATTTAAGACCCTAAGTGACGCCATCATAATGCTTTCGATAGTTGATTTGTTTGAACTAAAGGCATCATGCGATGAGGTAATGCAAAAAAAGATAATTTAACCCACTTCTCAGATGATCATTTGACGACTAAATCTTGTCAAGAACCCCTTATGAAAGAAGATTTGTTAAGATCTAGGAATCATCATTACAAGAAATGTGCCAACTGAAGTTCATTATTGAGTCATCGAAATTGGTTATAGTTATGAGGCTATCTTTTTGTATGTCATGAGCTAATGCCTGACACATACTATGACCAAACCTTGTCAAGACCCCCTTATGAAAGATTTGTGATGATCTAGGTAGCACCCTAACAAGACATGTGCCAACTGAAGTTCATTAAAGTCATTGAAACTGGTTACAGCTACAAGCCTATTTTTTTGTATGTGCAGTAAGTTATTACAGGACACATATTGTGTTTGCACCAACCTTTTCACAGGCAATATAGGAACCAGATTGACGTCGGCAATCTTGTTTCGTTAAGGCTGAACAGTATTCCTTCACTTGGGAACCGCCTTTACTTTTGAACTGAAACAAGATTCAGCAACAATGACATTTATAAACATAAACAAAGTATTAAATATATCATTACTATTAAGAGTTCTAACATCTGTAAAGATGCAACATAAGAAACAGGGGATACCAAAGCATTAAAAACAATATTACATAACTAAGAAGCCTTGGAATCTGTTTTAATTGGGGAAGAAGTCGACAAGCGAAAAGATAAAACATATTTTCATTTCCCTTGCTTGAAAGGGGTGGAAATGCTAGATGACTTTCACGGAAAGCAGTTTTCCAGATTACCTCAATCCTCTCTCACAGCATAAGTTTCGTCCAAAGACAGACCAAGTATATTCATTACATAAGCTAAAAACTTCAAATACCTTTGCAGCGACAGCTGTTTCCCTAGCAGTGGGCCGATGAATAAGGTCCAAAAGCTCCTCTCCGGTTTTCGATTTCTGCATTTCCCTGAAAGACTTCTTGTTCAACAAAGCCTCGAGATCCTTCAGATCATCCTCCTCACTCCTGGGCTTCAAAGGAATCACATGTGATCCACCAATTGGCCCCATTGGAGGTCTATGCATTGGAGGAGGAACACTCATCCCTCTGGGCATTCCCATCATCCCCACCATCCCTCTCGGCCCACCTCTTGGCCCCATCATCAATCCTCCCGGCCCTCCACCTCCTGAAAACATCGGGAAATGTGGGTCCCCTGGTCCAGGTCCCATCCACGTATCCTGCATTGGCCTCGGCACCAGCTTTCCCAATCCAAAGTCCCCACCGTTAGCATTAACATCACCACCACTCGGTGCCACTTCTTGAATTCGATTTCCATCATTCAAACTCGATTCGTTCAGTTTACTTTCCGGCAATTCTTTCACAAGCCTAGTTCGATCAATATTCATAACCATAACCCTAGATTTCCCACTCACCACAAATTCTTCTAATTCGACGCCACCATTTTCCTCTGCCATCGACCTCAAAGCCATCTCCACCGCAAGAATGGCCCCCGACTCCCCACCTACCTCCCTCAACGCCGCCTTCTCCGCAGCTGTGGCCGACTGATCATTCTCCAGCTTCCTCAACACCGTCGAAGAGTCAATCGCCGTAAACGGCACTCTCTCCAACAGACACACCGCCACCATCGAACGAACCACCGCTAACGGATTCCCACTCTCATCAACCACAAACTTCTCACTCTCGGATCGACGACCCGCCACTTCTGGCGATTTCTTTATCTGCAAATTCTTGGAATTACTGATTTTCGGCTCGGCCAAGCGGCGAATTGAGTGCTTTTCCGGTGTATTTTCGGGTTCTGATGGTGGTAGAAATTGGGGATTTTTGTGGACGCGATTAGGGTTTGGGAGGGGTTTGGGTAGGGGAGTGTACGGACGGGCATTGAAGGTGGAGATAACTTTGAGAGAGAGATCGAGAGAAGAGACAATGTCGGGGACTAGGGTTTGGAGAGAGGCGATGAGGTCCAGCTGAGAGTTGCGTTGGTTTTGCACACGTGATTCGAGCTGTTGACGCATGTCTTTGACAGTGGCTATGTTGTTATCAGCACCCTCTGATTGGGATTGGCTCTCCATCTCTGTCTCTCTCCTGTGTTCTCTTCCTCACAGTGTGATTTGTAAATACTCAACTCAAAAGCTGTGTTTTAGTGAACACAGTTTCTGTATCTTTTACCAAGCAAGCAAGCAAGCAAAACGACGATATCTGTGTGTGTCACTCTAGCTCTGCGTGTTGTTTGGTTGGGGTTTTAGTTTTACGGAGGTTAATGCAGTAGAAGTACTGCAAATCAACGGGTGAATAAGTCCGAAGATCAAAGGACCTTATTAGCGTTTGCTTGGATCGAAAGAATTGGGGAGAGTCGAAAAGAAACGGTAGGAAACCACAGGTTCGTTGACTGTGTGCTTCATGATCACGAAAGTTGCCCATTCGCCTCCGTCTATCAGCAGTCTAACAGCCCACGTTATTAATGGGCTTTCCAGCCCACCATATAAAGTTAGCGTGGATAGCCCATTAGCCCGATGGGTAAAACTAATTGGTCACTGCTCTTATATTTGGTTTTTTTAGGACGTGAATTATATTGTGTTCGTATGAATCACATATCGTGTTTTTTGTGTTGTATTCGTGTCAAGATTCATAAAAAAAAATTTATTTAATATATTTTAAGTATTAAACATTAATTTAAATTATTAATTATGTGTATTTAATAATTATATTAATTTTATAATTGTTTATGTTAGATTTGGGTCAAATACGTGTCAAGGGGTTAAAGTTGACACTTCCAAACTTTTTTCTTGGACTACGAGCCTTTGACGTCTGGGCTGATAAGTTGCTCTAGATTTCTCAAAAAACCAGGGAGAGACGATTACGAAATATTACAGTAAATTAGGTCAACAAATTATGTCAGTAAATCAAGTCTCAATAATATTACTCTTTACAAATAGCATTGCTCTTTACGCGCACCACAAATAGATTTATACTATTAATAAAAGGAGGTGATGAGTTTTGATGTAAGTGCATGACAAATAATGTGTTTTCAATTCGTATGAATGCCCATAAATTCAAGAGATTATTTTTTTAGATGCTCCAAATATCAGCTTTAAATAGAGGGATACACTAGAGAAAACTCAAAAGAGTTGTAAACTAAGGAATGATCAGCAAGGAAAGGCAAAAGAGAATTAAAAAAATAAAAATCTTTACACTTTGTTTATTGTACAAGGCAAGGTCCGATTTTGATGGACATATAATAGTTCCTCACAATATTCAGCTGATAATGAGAAAGGTCGTGTTTGGATGTCCAAAAAAAAAGGGCAGGCGGGTTTTGAGCTATCATGCACTATCTACGTTTCTTTGCGGCAAAACATTTTACTTCCCAAAAAGAAATTTAGAGAAAGGGCTTAAATGCATGTAATTTACCAAATTTATAACAGTAGGACTTCAAGTTAATATATCAACATACTAGTAGTTCCTCCTCGGTACACAGAAAGTAGCCTTTGGTTATTATTGTCCATTGCCTGCCTGCATGGATTGAGCATTAGATCGGCTCAAATGTTTTAGATCTATGTGGTTAATCTTTCAGATCTGTGGGCTGATGTTTAGATCTACAAACTGATCTTTGTGAGGTCGACTTCCAATTCTGTGAGTCTGAGTGAGAAAGTGTGTAAGAGAGAGAGAGAGAGAAAAGAAGAAGATGACACTGATGAATTAGCAAAAACGTGAATCACATTAGATTACAAGATAAAAAAGAGGATGTTAATGTGAATTTAATGTCCTAAATATATAATGTCGGGACTAGAACAGACAGGAAGTCCCATTAAAAAAAAGCCCCCACCAAACAACTGTAAAAATTACTTTTAACCCGAGCGGGTGGGTTTAAACAAAACCAATAACTTGAACGCTTATCCTAAAAACAAGCGGGTCAACTGTTTTTGTGATTACAACATGTAAGTTCTGTCAGTTATGTCTTACTCTCATCTCATCATTCTCGTGTCTATTATGTGATGATTGTTCAAAATTATCAGTCTTAATTGTATATGATTTTTTTTCCAGTTGGGTTTGTACTTTCTGTGATTGAAAGTTATTGGGATTATTAACTGAACTGACTTGGGAATTTGAGATGAAACGAAATTCCTTCCACCGTGTATTTTGATATTTTTATTAGAGTTTTTTTGAGAGTCGGTACACTTTTTAACATTTATTATGCTAGAAGTTCAAGTGGAAAAATATTTTGTCTAAAATTCCATTTGAGAATTCAATATCTAATATGTCCCTAATAACAAAATAAATGCGCTCATAAAACCAATTAAAAAACCTTATTTATGGTTAAAGTAAATTTGAAAACTAATATTCTTAAATTTTAAAGTTTTATCATATTACAATTTTTTTTTCTCTCTCTCTATAGAGAATGAGATAAGAATAAGATAGAAGTGTTTTTAAATTTTTAAGTTGGGAAAACACAAGAACGACTCAGATCATTCCACATAATTCAAAATTGATCCAACGGTGTTTTTAAATCTCAATCACCACCTCTTATTTTTTAATAATAAGATAGAAGTGTTTTTAAATCTCAAAATTATAAAAGCATAAGAACGACTCAGATTATTTCACATGATTTAAAATCGATCCAACAGTGGAGAAGATATCTTATTTCTCCATTTTCCCTCCAAAGTTTATCAATCGCCACCTCTTATTTATTAATTTTTTTGAAAGGTTCCGCTGCCTATTCTCTCTCTCCTCTGCTCTCACTCTCAGTCTCACACGCTAGAAGCTGGACATCCACCAACGCCTCCTCACTCTCCGTCTGTCCGTCTACCTCCTTCAACTCTCTCATCCCAATGCCACAACAAGCGCCGCCACTGGGCACCAGGACCACCGCGAGCACCAACACATCCGCCAAGTATTTCTTTCCCTCCCATCTCTATGTTACACACATACACAAGCCCCGAATCCCCCCAAACCCAAGCCCTCCCCTTTCTTCGGTTGCCTATGCAAAAGTCCCCTCCCCAAATCTTCTATTTTCCCCACCAGTGACTCGGTCTAATCATGAGGCTCTCTCTCTCTCTCTCTCTCTCTCTCTCTCTCTGTGGATTTTTTCATGAATTAAAGGTTGTGACAAATTGAATCTTGTATGCTAATTGTTTTTTAAAATGCTTTACTCATAGATATATTAATGTCAAAACTTAGATTAATGGGTTGGAAAGTTTAACACCCTTGAAAACTACTACCGGAATCTATTTAAGTTTGGTAATTGTTATGTACTATTATTTGAATGCAATGATTTTTTGTATCCCTCTAAGATATTGTTGTAGTTTAAGACTTTTAAGTAGTGTAAGTTGTTCGATCAAATTGACTTTAAGGTGTTTTAGTTTTTTTAATTTACACAGTAATTGATCAAATTGACTTTAAGGTGTTTTAGGTTTTTTTAATTTACACAGTAATTAATTTTGTTTCGAGATTGATTGTGTCACCTTCATACATTTTTGTCACTTAGATTTCATGTTTGAGCACGTTCAAGACCTTCGAAATAGGTGATTTAGGTTTCAACGTTCTGCTTGTGTGTGTATATATATCAATAATACAAGTGTATCATAATATAAATTCACACTATCAAAATTGTGACATAAGGAATACAGTGACACATAAAAAAAAAAACAGTGACAAATGAAAAAAAAAAATAGTGATACAAGGTGTGACTCCAGAAAAACTATGACAGTAAAGTGTGAATCTAGAAAACAACATTATATGAAATTAAAGATCAACTAATTTTATAGTATTACTAGAAAGTGTGACTCAAAAGAGCTATATCATACAAGAGTGATTTCATAAAATGGACTTTAGAAAAACAACAAAAAAAAAAAAAAAAAAAGGGCCCAAAAAATATAAATCACTATCAATTCATCCTCTATGGCAAACAAGCGTCGAGTTTGAAGTCACCGATGCTGAGAACCTTGTTGATTGAAGCTTAAGGCTTCTAAACACTGACAATCTAAAAAATTGCGTACGTCTAGACATTACAACTTGCAAGGACTTATGCAACTCTAGATCAAATGGAGAGAACTGTGGACGCTCATTCTACACGTGCAAAGTTGCAAAAGGTGCTTTGATGATTTGATAGAGGGGATTTTGTTTTTTGACATTTTGATTACCATTCTGCATCTATTGTCAGTTTTTGGAAGTAGCAAGTACTTGTGTCCTCTCCAAGAGATGGAAATATCTGTGGATGCATGCTAGGGATCTGAACTTTTATTTTCCAAAGAAGTTGTTAGCCATCCGGAAGGATCGCACATTACTTGAAGTCGAAAGGGCAAAATACATTAGTTGGGTGAATCGAGTTCTACAACAGCATGACGGTGCATTTATCAATGAATTCAAAGTTAATTTTGACATGGACTCTAGGGATAATTGTGATATTGATGAGTGGATCAGCTTTGCATTTGGAAAGAAAGTTCAAAGACTTGAACTGGACCTAAAAGGAGCTAGGTGTCGTTATTTACCTAGTCACACTAACCATTATCACTTCCCGCATGAGGTTTATTCTCACATAAAAAGCCCTTATGGTTTGCCCTGCATTAGATTCCCAACACACGTCTCTTTGAAATTTGTCACTCTTGCTGCAGAGGTTGTTGAGCACTTCTTTTCCAACTGTCCACTTCTTGAACGGTTGTTTGTGCATGGCTCACAGTGTCGTAGTGTCATGATGGGAACAAAATGGCTCTGTGACGGATACAATATTATGAGTTTAATTGTCCGTGTGACTGGTAGAAAGGGAAGTTATATGATCAAGAGAGTTAGATGTTTCAATGACGTATTTTATTTGCTCAGTCTAAGTGACGTATTTTACTTGCACAATCAAAACGTCTAAATGATGGAAAACTAATTATTAAAATGGATTGTCTACGTGACTAAAAGTATCCCAAGTGTTCAAGTTTGTTTTCGTAACTGAGATAAGTTAAAACTAATTTTGTCTAGGTGAGAAGTGCTGAATTTATTGATGTGTTGTGAGTCGTTTGAAAAACGAATAAAGGTAAACATGTTGTTGAGTGGTTTGAGTGACGATCGTATACTGATATGATAATTGAATTGTGTAGTGTTTTGTCGTCTGGGTGGCGGGACGATTATCTCTGTGTGAAACCGTAGAGCAGCAGAATAGGATATCGAGAATAAGTTATGAAATCACGAATATTAAAATTTTAATAATGAGCAAGGACGTCACATTATTTTCTTTGCTTTATTTCTAAAATGTAGAATGAGAACTCCCTGAAAAAATTCCTTGAAATCGTTTCAAGTTAACTGTACATAAATCTATAGTCCACTGTTGAAACTAGGAGTTTTCCGGGAAGGGCTCGTGTCAATTTCTAATTTTTTTAAAGAAAAATCTTTTGAGTTGTAAAAGATGTATATATTTTTGTTCTT